CGCAGACTCCTCACCCTCTTCTTTTATAGTTTACGATAGATTCTTGATTCATACGTCTCCTTTTTGCTTGCCTTTTTGTTTATCTGTTTTCTCCGAGTTTGATTGGGCAATAGGCAAAGTTATCACTGACTCTGCCTTCTTCCAATCTCCTGTTAATTACATGTTTTCCCTAAATATGTCCGTGGACTTCATAATCTTTCGTTTCTTTGTGCCTTCACTGTGTGAAGCCCTTCTTTATGTTGTCTTCCAATTGATATCGTGTTCAATTCCTGCGATGTATTGCATCAGTTTTGATCTTTCGCTATCCATTTTCCTGTAGGATCTTTGATGTTCCAGTTTCACCAATGTCTTTCTGTTCGCAGACGCCGCATGCTATGCAGTAAACTCCTGACCAATCCAATCTGTCTGCCCTCTCATGCTGCGGGGGGAAACTTGTGAAAAGTGTTGTTTTTTCCGTCGTGGTCACCTGAATATTCCCACTTCTAAAAGAAATTAAGCTATCTCCAAGTAAGCATCTCGCTAATCCCAATACTCCGTTGACAACAAGAAGAAAGACTCTGTGAAGTATAATCTTTGCTTGGTCTTTTATTGGCAAAATAGAGAAAAGCAATTAATCCCCGTATTGCCTATGTACATGGCTTATCTTAAACCAATTAATTGCAATATGGTCAAAGGTATATATGGCAAAAAAACTAGATTATTGACTGCATACATCAACATCTGATAATAAAAATAACGGATTTCAACTCATTGTTAACTGCAGTCTTTCTCTGCATTCTCTGAGCCATGGTATAATTTTGCTAAAAAATTAAGCAGGAAAGAATAAAAGACATGGGGCGCATGCGGCTAAATACACAACGTTTTTGAGGCATCTGGAGAATGATGTTTGTGGCTGAGGTGTAGTCACCGGATTTAGTTTGGGTGAAATCTGATGTATACAGTCTGGTCGAGGGTTAATGCAGACAACCATGTGCGAAACCAAAATTAGCACATTTTCGTTGCCAGGGCTTTGGCGCGATGCGTCAGTCAGATTGTGCTCTTCGAGCTGACAAGCGTCAACGATAAACCCGGAATCATATGTTGGCCTGTCGGCATGTGTCGGTGGGTGTGGCTGAGATGTTTGTTGAGAAGGCCCATACGCGAAAAGGACCTCGGACATGTGGGACAACGATAGCGTTTGTCGCGCTGGTGCGTCTGCATGTGTGCGCGAAGATTCGACCGGTCGGCAAACGACCTAGAGCACAACTGACAGTGGTAGGGTCGTTCGCCGGTGTGTGTCCGTTCGTGGCCCTTGAGCAGCCATTTTCGCGAGAATGACTTGCCACACCGTTCACACCGGCAGGGCAATGTATGCGTGCGTATGTGCATCTTGAGGGCGGACGCTTGTGTATAGGCCTTGGCGCAGACTCGACATGTGAAGTGGCCCACTGCGCACGTCGCCAGCTCTCCGGTCAGGCTGGAAATGCCCACCTTGTCACACACCTTTCGGCAAACACCGTTGCTATGGCTACCGGGTATGATGCCAGCAGATTTCACCATCTCCTTGGCAACATTGGCAGCGTCAGCATCGGTGTTCTGGCCCAGATTGACTTCCAGGTCGGCCCAGCAATCGGATCGTGGAGTGGCGGGTGTAGCGCAGGCCAGACGACTGTTTTTCGAGGTGGTCAACGTGTTGGTAGACGAGCCAGGCACTAAGGTAATGTTGCCGGAGGTTGAGAGGAGCGAGTTGGAGTGACAAGGGCCCAGCAACTGACGCGGTGGCGGCGTCAAGGCGGTCGAGGAAGAGGCGGAGGAAGAAGAGGGTGAGGAAGAGGAGGAGGAGGAGGAGGAGGAGGAAGCAGAACAGGGTGAGGATGAGAGGCAGATGTCGGTCATTTTGGGAATGGTACTGTTTCGACAAGTCTGAGAAGCGGAGCTGGTGGGCGGTCGTCGCCACTCGGCGACCGGCGTCGAGGTGGCCTCCGGTACTCCGGTGTCGTGGCAACTCGCGGGCTCCCCGTTCGTCTGTCGGCGCCTCGGAGACAGGACTGCCGCACCATAATAGGGTGGGACGGCTGTGTATCCGGTTGTCGGGTTCTGGTGGTACATGTTCTCCACACTCGGCATTGGCTGAAGGTGAAAATGGCCTGAGTGGGCGGATGCGACTGTTGTATTTGTCTGCGAATGCAGTGCGGCAAACTCCGGCTTCAACAGGGTCTGGAGGTGTTGAGTCATCAGGGCCTGGTAGAAGGTCAGCGCTGAACCACTTCCAGTCGCCGGGTCGACGTCTGCCCGAGTCTGTCCGAGAAGCAGATGTCGGCTGCCTTCTGCGCCTTGAAGAGCGTCGGCATCGCCACACTCTTGCGTCGTCGGCGGCCAGACAGCCGCGATCGACGTCTGTGCTGGAGGCGGCAGATGCGCCGGCATCGGAGGCGCCGCACCGACTGACCTTCCGGCAGATGTACCAACATCCATCCGGTCTGCCAGCCGCAGACTTGGGCTAAACTTGTCGCCATAACGACCGCTGAGTTGGTCGTTTCGCCAGTCGTGCACGGAAGGTGCGGAGTCGGACAGGCTGGATTTGGTCAAGACGGTGGCAGGAGTGGGGACACGGTCTCGACTGCATCTCGTCGAACCGGACTCGAGCGAAGTGTCGACGCACAAGTTGTCTGGAGGCTGGGCTCGTGTGAGGCTTTCTTCGTTGCGTCGCTGAAGACACCAGAAATACCACCACCACCACCACCACCACCATCCTGATCCCGAGCCAGATCCTGATCC